AAGTAATAGATTCTCCCGTAGAGTCTCCAGGAGTAGGTCCTGCTGACATCTTGATTTTAGCCCAGAGAAACCGTTTTTGGATGTCTGGCTACAGGATAATAAATATGTGCTATTTTAAGTCACCAATTTTGTGGTAGTTTGTTACAGCACCCATAGGAAACTAATACACGGAGGATGTAAATCTTAACAGTAGTGAGTGTTCTATGAACACAGTATATTTCTCCATTTATTTAGATCTTTAATTTTTCTAGGCAGTCGTGAACTGAATGTGTCCCGTCAAAAATCACAAGTTGACTCTAATCCCCAATGTGATGGTATTTGGAGACAGGGCATTGGGAGGTGATTAGGTTATGAGGGTGGAACCCTCATGGTTGGAACTAGTGTCCTTATAAGAAGAGACCAGAGAGCTAGCTCACTCTCTTTTCACCATGTGAAGGGTGTGAGAAGTCTGCCATCTGCCACCCAGAAGGCAGCACTCGCCAGAACCCAGCCATGCTGGCATCCTGATCTCCAACTTCCAGCCTCTGAAACTGTGAGGAATAAATTTCTATTGTTTATTAGCTTCCCCACAGTCCTACCAGTGTTTTGTAGTTGTCAGTATATAGGTTTTGCATATATGTTGTTACGTTTGTCCCTGTTTTATATTTGTGATGCTATTGTAATGGTGGATTTTTCATAAACTTTTAATTTTTGAATAGTTTTAAATTTATAGGAAAGTTGCAGTAAATGATATATATTTTTAAGTTTCTGTTTCCAATTTGTCACAGCTACTATATAGAAATGCAATAATTTTTGTACATTTACTTTGTATCCTTCAATTTTGTTAAATTCACTTACTAGATCTACTAGCTTTTTCGTAGATTCCTTAGGATTTCCTACACAGAAAATCATGTTGTCTGTAGATAATGACAGGTTTACTTCTTTCTTTCAAAACTATATTCTTTTAATTTCTTTTTATCATGTTATTGTTGTGGCTAGGACCTTTAGTACAATGTTGAATAGATGCGTTGAAGTGGACAAACTTGCCGTGTTTCCTGTCTTAAGGGGAAAGTATTGAGTCTCTCACCATTAAGCATTATAACTACAGGTTTTTCATAGATGCTTCTCTACTCCTAATTTGTTTAGAGCTTTTACCTTGAATGGGTAGCAAATTATGTCAAATGCTTTTTAAACAACTATTGAGATGATCATGTGATTTTTCTTTTTCGGCCTACTAATACCACGAAGGTTGCTAACTGATTTTCAGATATTAATCCAGGATTGTGATCTTGCAATCCCAGCTAAACCAGACTTAGTCATAATGTAGTATCCTTATATATTGCTGAATTCAGTTGGCTAAAATCTTTTGAGGATCTTTGCATCTCTGTTCATGAGAGATATTGGTCTGTAGTTTTCTTTCTTGGTCAGTTTTGGTATCAGGGTAATGCTGGCTTCATAAAATAAATTGGGAAATGTTCCCCCCTCATCTTTTTTGCAAGAGTTTGTGAAGAATTGCTGCTATTTCCTCCTTAAATGTTTGGTAGATTTTGCCATGGCCTGACATTTTCTTTGTGAAAAAAGTTTTAACTAGAATTGCAGTTTCCATGTCTTTGTTTCAAGAAATTTCCTGGCATAAAGTTGTTTATAATATCCCCTACTTATCCCTTTAGTATTTTTAGGATTTGTAGTGATATCCCTGCTTTCATTCTTGATATTAATAATTTGAGCCTACTCTTTCTTACTGATTACTCTGGCTGTAGATTTACCAATTTTCTTATTTTCTCAAAGAAACTGCTTTTAGTTTCATAGATTTTTTTCTCTAATGCCTTTTTACTGTATTTTATTGATTAATGTGCTTATATTTATCAGTTTGTTCTTTCTGTTTACTTTTTTAAAATTTCCTTCCCTTTCTTACATGGAGGTTCCTTACCTCCACGTTCTTTCTATTTTCATAAGATAGAATCTTAGATTATTGACTTGATATCTTTTCTAATGTAAGTATTTGATGCTAAAATTTCCCTTAAGTACTGCTTTAGTGTATCCCACAAATTTTGGTATATTGTGTTTTTGCCTTTATTTAATCCAAAATATTTTTCAATTTTCTTCATAGTCTTTGACCTATGGAGTATTTAGCAGTGTGGCATTTAATTTTCAAGTATTTCGAGAATTTTCCAGATATTTTTCTACTGTTGATTTCTAGTTTGACTCCATTGTGCTTATTTACTTTGTGTGATTTCAGTCCTTTTAAATTTGTTGAGCCTTGTTTTATGGCCCAGAATTCAATCTGTCTTGGTGAATGTTCCATGTGTTTTTGAAAGGAATCTGTATTTTGCTTTTGTTGGGAAGAACTCATTAATATTAATTAGGTCAAGTTGGTTGATAGTGTTGCTACAATCATATATATCCTTAGTAATTTTCTGTTTATGTGTTCTGTTAGTTACTAAGAAAGGAATGTTAATTTCCATTTATAACAGTTTGATTTTTTTTGTTTCTCCTTTTAGATTGATCAGTATTTTCTACATGTATTGTGAAACTTTGTTATTAGGCATATAAACATTTATGATTGTTAGATCTTGACAAATTGGCCCCTTTATCATTATGAAGTGCCTCTATTTGTCCCTGGAAATAGTCCTTGTTCAAAAATATACTGTGTCTTACGTTGTGGTAGGCAGAATGCCCCACCCCCACAAATACACAGATACTCAGGCCTTAAGCCCTGAAACTTGTGAATATGTTATTTTACATGGCAAAGGGGACTTTGAAGATATATTTATTAGCATTAGTTTCTGCTGTTACCATGACAAATTACTGAAACTACTCAAGCTTATTATCTCTCAGTTCTTTAGGTCAGAAGTCCGGGTACAGCATGACTCAGATGGGTCTTCTGCCTAGTTTCACAGGGTCAAAATCAAAGTGTTAGGAGGGCTCTATTCCTTTCTGGAGCCTCCAGGGATTCATCTGCTTTCAAGCACATTTGGGCTATTGTCAGAATTTAGTTCCTTGGGGTTGTAGAGCTGAGGTCCCCTTTACCTTGCTGGCTGTCAGCTGTGAGTTATTCTCAGCTTCTGAAGCCTGCCTGCATTCCTTGGTTCATGGTTCCTTACCTCCGTGTTCAAAGGTAGAAGTAACAGGCTGAATCCTTCTCAAGTCTGGAATCTCTGACTTCTTCTGCCTCATCTCTCTTCCACCACATCTCTCCGATTTACTCTTCTGCTGTCTTAAGGGCTCATGTGATTACACTGGGCACACCTGGATAATCCAGTATAATCTCCCTATTGTAAAGTTAGCTGATTAGTAACCTTAATTCCATCTGCAAAGTCCCCTCACAGTATTACTTAGATTACTGTTTGATTGAATAATCAGGGCACAGGAATCCTGGAAAACTTCTTTAGAATTCTGCCTACCACAGTTATGGACCTTAAAATAGGGAGAGTAGCCTGGCTTAACCAGGTGGACCCAGTTTCATCACATGAACTCTTAAAAGCAGAGAACTTTCTCTCACTGGAAGCAGAAGCGATATGGCAGAAGTGAGAAAAAAATCCCAAGCATGAGAAAGATTCAATATGCTATAGCTTGTTACTGGCTTTGAGATGTAGGGGCCTATTTGCAAGGACCCAATAGAAGCCCCTACTATCTAAGATCAACTGCAGGGTGACAGCAAGCAAAGAGACACGTACCTCAGTCCTACAACCACAAGAAACTGGATTCTGCCAACAACCTAAATGAGCTTAGAAGTGGATTCTGCCAGAGTCCCCTGATAAGCATTCCACCAACCGACATCTTTATTTCAGCCTTGTGAGATTCTGAGTAGAGAAACCAACCAAGCTCATCTGGCCTTCTATCATATAGAACTGTGAGATAATAAATTTACGTTGTTTTAAGCTGCTAAGTTTGTGGTAATTTGTTATAGCAGCAATGGAAGACTTAAACAGATGTTAATATAGTCATTCCAGCTTTCTTTTGGTTAGTGTTTATTTGGTATAACTTTTTCTTTCCTTTTGCTTTTAATCTGTCTGTGTCTTTATAGATAGATAAAGTGGGATTCTTATAGACAGCATATAGTGCCTTGCTTACTAATCCAATCCGATCATCTTTGTCTTTCAGTTGGCCATTTATATTTAATATAGTTATTGACAGGGTTGAGTTTTAACTACTTTCTTGCTGCAGCCTGGAAGCTGCCTCTGATCTGCAAACTGCGGCAGTAGTGGGGTTTACCTCCTTTGTTTCCTCCCTCTCACCTGTTCTCCACTGCCTGTTGTCAATGTCTGAAAACTGTTCTTTTGTAGATGGTATCAAGTTTCTTATTTAGGTGGGAAGGTAAATTATATTCCCATTATTAAATCAAGGCTGGAAATAGAGGTCCTCAAGAGTATAATTTCTAATTATTTCAAGGACATCTTCAGTAGCGATTCCCTTTTATATGAGACGTGAGCATGTGTGTATGTGTAATTTATTCATTCATAGAAAGTATAATACATATACTAAAATGTTCATGCCATATGAATATGACAGATGGCTGCCTTTTTAGAAATAGAATCAGTCAGTGATAGAACTTGACCATTTTCAGAGCACATCAGCCTTTTCCAGTCTCTGTGTCTTGGTATAGCTAGTTCCGTCTGCCTGGAATACTTCCTCATCTCACTTCCTTTCCTGCCTGGCAGCTTTCTGCTTGCCCTCTGGAACCAGCTCCAGGGTCACCACCTCTCTGCTTCTGAGTGCCTCAGACACAATCTGTATTTCCTCTTCCAAGCGCTCATCACAAACATCATGCTGTATTATATGTTTCTGTGTGGTCTTCCTTCTATGAGGAAGCCTTGGAAAGCAGGAGACTTATTTTAGACTTCTTTATGTTTCTCTTATTCCTAACACATTATGTCTGCCCCATAGACCTTTTCAATAAATGATTGGTTAAGCTAGTGACTCCTTTTACATGCTGACAAATATGGCTCTTATTGCTCCCCATTTCAGTATCACATATTTGTGAAAGTGAATCCTCTTTAATCGTTTTACTTTTCTCCTAGTAAATTCCTCATCTATGCCTGTCTGCTGCTGTTCTCTGTGCTGCTGGCCCTTCGTTTGGATGGCATCATACAGTGGAGTTACTGGGCTGTCTTTGCTCCAATATGGCTGTGGAAGTTAATGGTCATTGTTGGAGCCTCAGTTGGAACTGGAGTCTGGGCACGAAATCCTCAATATCGGTAATACTGCTTTATACAACTCATTGGTCTCTAGCATGAGGGAGCAATATCTTGACTTTTCTCACTTTTGATGAAGTAAGGACCATTTTATTTTCTGCCTATCTGGGGTCTTAGAACTATAGTATAAGCTAACAGATCTCTTCTGTGTTTTTGAAAATTTGGTCTTTGGTATGTAGTTTCTTACAAAAGCAGTGCCATTTGGGGGGTAAGTTGTCAGCCAGCTCACAAATGCCTGTATAATCCAAAATGTACCCAAAATGCAGAACTGGTATGCCATACTAGACTAAGCAGCATGAAACCACCCTGTTTTTAGGAAAAGACACTCATATTATGTTTGGTCATGAAAGATCTGTCTCCAATTCAGTTTTGAAGCTGGGGCTCCCATTGTCCCACCCTCCTAGTCCCAGAGCTTTAGGACTATTAGTAGTGTAAGGGAGGTGGCTTGGCCAGGAGACCATGAGTCCCTCAGACAGCAGCTGGGGAATGAGGAAAGTCAAGGGTTGGTTGCCAAGAAGGAAAGCAGAGCCTTTGGGGGCAGGGGAGAGGAGTACCCTTTACTGTTTCCAACTCTTGCCCTCCCTGCTCTTGGATACCTCTGCTGGCCCAAATTCTTGGGAGTTGGCTCACACCAGCATGCAGCCTGGTGTTGCTGGGACCTGCAAGAGACTTTCCCTTCTCTGCCACAGAGACTGTAACTACATAAAGGGAAAAGGGGGACTTAAGACTGGGAGGCTATTATGAACCTTCACTGGGAAGATGAGGAGTACAGGAATTCCCAGAAGGCAGCTGCTCGTGTGGGAAAAGTGTAAAGTTGAAACTTTTTTTTTTTTTTTTTTTTTGAGACGGAGTTTCGCTCTTGTTGTCCAGGCTGGAGTGCAATGACGTGATCTCAGCCCACTGCAACCTCCACGTCCCGGGTTCAAGTGATTCTCCTGCCTCAGCCTCCTGAGTAGCTGGGATTACAGGCACCTGCCACCATGCCCGGCTAATTTTTTGTATTTTTAGTAGAGATAGGGTTTTACCATGCCAGGCTGGTTTCAAACTCCTGACCTCAGGTGATCCACCCACCTTGGCCTCCCAAAGTGCTGGGATTACAGGTGTGAGCCACCACGTCCAGCCACTACATCAACTTTCTAAATTTTTGTTTACTAAATATAAAAATGATTCAGATCATGTAAATTCCATATCACATACATGTCTAAGAACTGTAAAACAGTTACACAGAGAGCCTTGGCAGGTGAGGAACATTCATGTATAGCTGTTTCAAAGTTCTTAGATTTTGTTTTGAAAGATTGATGACCTGTGTGGCTGTATATGTTTTCTTTTTTTTATGAGATCTTTCAGATAATCTAATGTTTGCTTCTCAAAGAATGCAAAGTTAAATAAACATTTAGGTTCTACTAATTGATATTTAGAATATATTCAAACTTCTCTTTGTTGGTCTTATTTAAGATGCTTGGAGCAAGGAAAGGAATTGTGTATGTGGGGTTGAATAAGGAATGTACAGGCGTGGTCATTCTCGTGTTAACATTAACCAGTGGAACACGGTTGGGTCCTACAGGAATAACCTCTGATAGCATTTTCTCTGTGATCTAACTTCTGGTGTATTTATCACCCACAATACATGCATATCATAAATGTTCATCTGTATTTTGAATAAACATTGTAGACCTTTCAAATGCATTATAGAGCCTTTTCCTGATTGCTGGCCTTACCATTGCTCAATTGTAGATCTGTTAAGGTTATTGTGTGTGATACTTAACTAATTAAACTGATTTTGTTTGAGAACAGTTTTAACTCTTGTTCTTCTTTCTCTTTCATCTGCAGGTGTTAATGTATCTTAATGGAATAGAAAGGAAAAAGAAAATCATTTATATGTTTTATTTGCATTTTAAAATAGCACCTAACAATAGTTACTACCATCTTGTTGAAATATAACCAGCACTTGTTCATAGAACTAGAGTTATTTTTATAATATTGTGTGAAGGATGGTTTACATGGTTTTTAATTCATTGAAAAATGAGGATCGTGAGACTTAAGGGGTATTTGCCTGGTTTTAGCAGCAGAAGCAAATCAGCTTGAATACTCTTGGAAGTAACTCGTTGTTGAATTTAAAGATGTGAACAGAAGTGTTTATGTACATTGTCAGGGAAATAACTGGCTATTACTTTTGAGAATATGCCTATACAGTTAAAACATTAAATTCTGGTTTGGTTGTAATGTTCATTTGGTATTATGTAGTAGTTCTTCGATGTTTCAGAGATTGCCTACTAAAGTTTAGGTTTAAGTTAGCTTTCTACCTGATTTCCCTTACTTTTGTCAAATTTTCAAGTAAAATTCAAAGTATCAGTATAAGTTGGTATTTGCCCTGAACTGCTTGCTTATAATGGAGATTCTGAAATGAGGGTGTTTTCTTCTTCTCTCCCTTTTTAGAGCAGAAGGAGAAACGTGTGTGGAGTTTAAAGCCATGTTGATTGCAGTGGGCATCCACTTGCTCTTGTTGATGTTTGAAGTTCTGGTCTGTGACAGAATCGAGAGAGGAAGCCATTTCTGGCTCCTGGTCTTCATGCCGCTGTTCTTTGTTTCCCCGGTGTCTGTTGCAGCTTGTGTTTGGGGCTTTCGACATGACAGGTCACTAGAGGTGAGATTTCATATATTTAAGAATGTTTTCCACTTCGGGAGGTCAAGACAGGCGGATCACTTGAGGTCGGGAGTTCGAGACCAGACTGGCCAACGTGGTGAAACCCGATCTCTACTAATAATACAAAAATTAGCCGGGTGTGGTGGCACGTGCCAATAATCCCAGCTTCTCGGGAGGCTGAGGCTGGAGAATCTCTTGAACCCAGGAGGTGGAGGTGGCAGTGAGCCAAGATTGCACCATTGCACTCCAGTCTGGGTGATAGAGTGAAACTCCATCTTAAAAAGAAAAAAAAAAAAGAATGTTTTCAAAAGTAAAATATTTTGCTCAGTTATTCACATGTCAGTTTTTTTACCCTTTGTTAGGAAGAGTTTGATCATTAACAACTCTACATCATGAGACAACAAGGCAACAAAAGACAATGGAAATAACCATTTTTCTTTCTTCACTTAGAACACTAGCTTTTCACCCAGGACATCAGCCTTCTCTCAGCTTCATATCCTGTATCAGACAGAAACAGAACTGATAGGTTAGATACAGATGTACGTATAAAGAGAGTTAAGGAACTGGCTCACATTACTGTGGGGCTGCCAAGTCTGAAATCTCCATGGCAGGTGAACAGGCTGGAGACCTAAGAGGAGTTGACACTGCAGTCCTGGCACAGAATTTCTTCCTCTCCAGGAAACCACAGTTTTTGCTTTTAAGGCCTTCACCTGATTGCGTGAGGCCCACCCATGCTATGGAGGGTAGTCTCCTTTATTCAAAGTCAGTACCTTCATAGCAACACCAAGCTTAGTGTTTGATTAAATAACTGGGTACTATAGCCCAGCCAAGTTGACACTCAAAACTGACCATCTCCCCACCTCAGACCCCATGATTTAGCACCTCCCCTGCTCTCTGGTTAGCTTATACTGATGTGCCCATGTGTTTGTTTATTCATTCAGTAAACATTTATCAAGTATTTACTGGATGCCAAGTCCTTTTTCCCTAAGCATAGGGGATATGCAGATGAATAAAATACCAGGACTAGTAATAGTAGTAATGAAAATAATTGCAGATAATGTTCATTGAGCACTTACTGTGTGCCAGGCATTGTGCTAGGCACATCACATGCAGTAGTTTTCTTATTAACTATTCACAACCCTGTGAGGTAGGTCCAGAGAAGATAAGTCATTTGTTCATGGCCACATGCGAAGGGGCAGAACCAGGATTCCATTTGAGTCGGCCCAACTCTAAAGCCTGGGCACATAACTACATAACTGCACAGAAGCTGAGGGCCCAAAGCTGAATACTGATGGGTTAAGGGGAGAACTAGAGGCTGTAGATGCCTGGTTTTGAGCTGTGTGGATAAAGAGTGAAGGAAGAAGACCGCAGTTGGCTTAGGAAGTAAACATAGCAGCCGTAGGGTGGGTCAGGCATATAAGCCTGGACCCCAGGTATAGGCGTGAGGGGAAGGTACCTAGACAGAGGGATGGTGATGGAGCAAGGCCCTGTGGGACTCAGGGAGAATGGGACCCGGAGCACCAGGAAGGGTTTGGCCTTGAACAAGGGGAGCTATTCCCTGATTTTCATGCTGGTGGAAAGGCCACAGCATGGGTATGACTGGTAGGTAGGAGTGAGCTATGGAGGGAGAGTATCTGATGGTCCACTTTCACTCTCCCTAGAATTCCCAGTTTATATCAGGGACTTGAGCATCCATGGATTTTGGTATCCACGGGGGGTCCTGGAACCAATCCCCCACAGATACCGAGGGATAACTATACAAGGGCTAGGACTGCATTGGGCCTGAATTGCAGAAAGTCAGTCTTTCATACATTCACACTCTTGGCATTCCTGCCCTTGGAAGAAACAACATACCAGGAGCTGAGCTCCCTCCTCCTGTGACGCAAGAACAGTACCTATGTTGGTGAGGGGGTGGTTTGGAGTAGGCTCATGCAGAGATGGGAAGGAGGAGTTGAGGGTCTGCCAGGGAGCCCTGTGTCGGGAGGAAAGGGATGGCATTTTTGGGACACATTGAAGCCTAGAGGCAGGAAACACTCCATCAGCTGAGTGGACTGTGGCAGTTCAGATCCGACGGGAGCACAAGGTGGAAAGGAAGGAACTGTGGGAGTTGAGATGAGAGGGAGCCTCTACAGAGGGATTGGGCCAAATAGGGGCCACATCCTCAGCCTGCAGAGCATGTGCTGAAGTGCCCCAGGCACCCCAGTGCACTCGCAGGGCACCAGGGGATAGTGGACATTTTGAGGAAAACAGTAATACCTGACATTTGTTGGGACACCATACAAACTACTAGCTTGAAATAGTTTACAGGTTTATTTTTAGGCCACACTACATTCCTTTCAGTGATGTCGTATCTTTAAGAAGCTGGGTTTTCGGCAGCTGCTTTGAAAACTCAGAAGGCTACTGCTGTTTGAAAATCCAGGTGAAGAACAGGTGACAAGAGTGGGAGCACCTTGTCTGATTCCAAGGCGTGGGAAATGGTGAGCTACCTGACAGGCACACGCATCCCACTGGGAATTAGTTTTGGTTATTTAAGAATAATATTAACATTTTTCTTTAGATTTATATGAATTATTTTTTCAAGTGGCTACTTAGAAATACTTACTAGGTTAGACGTAATTACTTAAATCAATGCAACGGTTGACATTCCTAGCCACATTAGGGATTTCTTTTGGCCTAGAGGTCTGTGGAGGAATTACTAAATTCCTCATGTACCTATGTACTGAGAACTTTGGGAAGCTCTGGGCCCGGTCCCAGATTTCGATTTTGTGGGCAAGAATGTACTTTACCAGAGTGAGGAGCAGCCTGCAGGGCATTTGAACTGGAGGCAGGAGGTTAGTAAGGGGTTGCTGAAGTGGTAGGGGGATGGTGAGGAAGAAGGCCTCACTAGGCAGTCATCATCAGCATAGAAAGTGGGCACGGGATTCAGGAGAAGTCTGGACGCTACAGTGGACAGGATGTGGTGACTGAATGCAACAGTGTAGGAAAAAGAATACAGGGTGATTCCCGGGCTCATGGCTTGACAAATGAGACCACTGTTGTGCCTCAAAGTGACATGGGAGGCTATAGAAAGAGGAGAGATAAGGTTCTAAGTGCAGGCGATAATGACCTCTGTTTGGGACTGGCTTCATTTGAGGTGCCTCTAGGAGAGCCGAGTGGCATATGCACAGCTGGGTTTGCTATGCAGCAGGAAGGCTAAGTTGGAGACAGATGAGAGAACTCACCACTAAGGAGGTAATAATGGAAGCCAAGGGTCTGGTTGAAATTTCTTCTCCCCCAGTCCAGGGTGCAGCAGGTGAGTGAAAATATGTGTGTTCTTGTGTCTGTCTCCCTAATGGGGAGAGAAGACTGTTTGTGGCTCTGGGGAGCATCACCATTTAAGGAGGGGGAAAAGGAGACAGAAGGAATTACCAGAGCACTCCAGAGGGCTCCAAGACTGCATGGTGGGATCTTAGAAGGCCAGGAGGAGGGGAGCAAACAGGAAAGACTCATCCACAGTATCAGTAGGATGCCAGCTGAAGTGTTTTTGCTGTCTCCTGGTTATTGGTGACTTTGATGAAAGCTGTCTACTGATGGTCATGGGGGGTGGAGGCCAGATCACAATGGAGGAAGCTGGGAATGGTAAATGAGATAGTAGGGGCTTGCATATTCATTACTGTCTCACAGAGAGAAACCTGAGGCTAAGAGGGGTCTTGGATCAAAGGATGGGGTGGGTTTATCTGGTTTGGGGTTTTTTGCTTTTAATGAGAAGGAGTTATTTCTGTGCTGCTAGGAGGGATCAATGGAATAGGTGGGGTTAAAGATACAGTAAAGAATCTATAATTGATGGCTTGATGTGACAAGGTCCTCAAGGAGCTTGAAAGGAAAGGGTGGGATCCAAGGGCAAATCTGAGATATGAGAAGAAGGACGCACAAGAATGGTTTTGAATAGACAGTATTGTTGGTAGGGGCATGAAGGAAGCTTAGTGGTCTATTGCAGTTAGCCTGTGTTCCCAGCGAACCTGGAAACAAGGTTCTCATCTGTGCTCAGGCCTCAGGCCACAAAGGGCAAGGCAGCAGAGGGGCAAGGCAGCAGGCCGAGCCATATTTCCCCTTGCCGTAATACTGCCGTGCCCCTCTGGTACCGAAAATCAGGAGTTTCCAGTGCAACATAATATTATACAAGTTACACTGTATTATAATGTGTATTGTCTTTTAGTGTGTTAACCAAATTACTGCAATATTAAATGCAAATTATATTTTGTTTAACTGATTCTTCTCTTCATTTTTAGTTAGAAATCCTGTGTTCTGTCAACATTCTCCAGTTTATATTCATTGCCTTAAGACTGGACAAGATCATCCACTGGCCTTGGCTTGTATGTAACTTTTAAAATGCTTAAATAAACTTCTTTTTTTATTATAAAAGTAATTCATATTCACTGTAGAAAGCTTGAAAAAGACAGACAAGCAGAAATAATAGCCTAATAGTCACCCATAATCCCACTATGGGGAGATAACATGGTTAGTGTTTTTTATGTCTGTGTTTTATACAAACAGTTGGGATATAACTGTGTGTACCGTTTTGTATCCTGATTTTTTTGTTTTAATGTTGTATCATAAACATTTTATCATGTTAATAAAAGGTCTTTATAAACATGACTTCTAAAGTTTAATTGATACAAAATATTCTTCAAGTGCATGTATCAAACCATCCTCTTATTTCTAAAATATGGTATTTCCATTGTTGCCAGTACTGAATGATTTTAAATCATGCTGCAGTGTATATGTTTATGCATTAAAATTTTTGCCTTAATTTTTTTTTTTGGTTGTTTTCTTAGGAAATAGTCCAGAAATAGTGTTACTGGGCTACAGGTTGGGAACTGTTTGAGATTCCTATATACATATACTACACTGCCAACTTGCTTTTCCAAAAGCCATACCTGGCCAGGCGCAGTGGCTTACACTTATAGTCCCAGCACTTTGGGAGGCCGAGGTGAGCTGATCACTTGAGCTCAGGAGTTCGAGACTAACCTGTGCAATGTAGCAAGACTGTCTCACTAGAAAAAAAAAAAGCCATACCCATTTACACTCTTGCTGGTGGTGGCATCTGTCATGCTTCTAAACTGTGACTTCAGTTACTGGGCATTTGGTTGAAATTAACCGTGAATAAATGGGTGGATGGATGCAGAGACAGAAAGATAAGTGGCAAGACAGAAATTAGAGAACACAGTATAGTTTCCACTATTAAATGCATGGAAAAAAGATGGAGACTAAAGGCAGAAGAGTTCTATTGCCACTGGGAGGTAAGGTCATGCTAGTGTTTTTGTTTCAGTTTTATTTTCTCTGTTGTTTGATGTATAATTTTGCATACAATATATTTTATGTATTAAATATAGTTACCTTTAAAAAGTAAAAAGTACAGTAAAGAATTGGGAGCAGAGAAGAAACGAAGGGAAGCTAAATACACTCCATACTTAAAGATGGGAATAATCACTTCTGCCCAAAGCCTTTGTTTTTATTCAGCCACTCATCCTCAACTTCACAGTGCTGTATCTGGAGAATGGTCATTGGGTTCAAAACTGTTTCTGTTGTGACATGGAGGAAACATGTCCAAACAAGACCAAATTTTTTAGTATAAGATACTGTCAGGGAAAAAAAAATGATTAGTAATTTTTAGTGCTTTCCACAAATGAGAAGGAAGATTTTTTCTGCCCTTCATCCTCTGTAGATCCCAGTTGATGAAGCAGTCTGAGTACATGTTTCCCATAGTGAGCGAGAGACAAGAAGGAAGGCTATTGAGATCTAACATTCCACCCATGAAGGAACTTCAGTAAAAAGGAGAATCTCATCACAGAACGGGGAAGGGGGAAGAAAGGCTGTGCATAGACTCTGCAGAAAAACCTACGATCAAAAACTCCAGGCTGGTCAGGAGGGGTAAAATTCCTATGCCAACTCAAATCATAGATCTAAAAGAAAATGTGAAACTATAGATCTGTTAGGAAATAACATAGGACAGAATCTTTGGGGTTTGCAATTAGGCAAAGAGTACTTAGAAATGGCACTGTTAATATAGTCCATATGAGAAAATTATAAATTTGGACTTCCTCAAAATTGAAATGAAGACAGACCACAGACTGGGAGAAAATATTTGCAAAGCACACATCAAAACACTGACTTGTACCCAGAACATACAGAGAACTCTTAAAAACTCAAAAATGCAAAAAGAAACACCTACTTTAAAAATTGGCAAAAGAGTTGACAATTTGCAAATGGGATATATGCATGGGGAAAAAGCACAGGAAAAGATGCTCAATGTCATTACAGGTTAGGGAAGGCAAACTACAACCAGGATGAGGGCCCGAAACACATGGCTTCAGAATGACGAAACTCAGTAACACTGACAAGGGCATGTGCCCAGGAGGATGCAGAGGAACTGGGACACTCCAGCGTCACTGGGGGGAAGGCAGATGGTACAGGCATTGTGGAAAATGGTTTGGCAGTTTCTCATGCAGTTAAAAGCACATTTACCCTGGGATGTGGCTGCCCCACACCTAAGTATTTACCCTAGGAAGTGAAAGGGCGCAGCCAGGTAGAAACCCACACTCTAGTGTTTGTAGCCACCGTGTTTGTGATAGCCAAGGGCTGGAAACCATCCGCAGCGGAGGGTTGGGTAAACAAACTGTAGGCATCGATACAATGAAATACCACTCAGCAATGAGAGGGTCCACCTGTGGATACAGGGAGGGAACAATTTGGATGAATCTCAGAGGCATTATGTGGATGGCGGGAAGCCAGTCTCAACAGTCTTGTCTCGCGATGTCATCTACATAAAGTTCCAGCAGAGACAAAAGTACAGTGACAGAGAACAGATCAGTGTTTGCCGGGCTAATGGTGGGACAATGTGATAGTGGAGGGACAGCACGAGAGAGTTTTGCAGGGTGACAGACTTCTTCCGCATCCTGTCTATGGCTGTGCGAATCTACACTTGTGTGAATACTCAGGGAACGCACACTAAAGGAAGACAGTCACTTTTCCTACTGTATGATAGATAATTAATAAAAAGGGAGAACAGAGAAGTGTCGTCCCAGGGGGCAGGGCAGGAGGGTGACGACGTGTCACAGGGGAGCCTTGGCCAAGTGGCGCCCCCAGAACTCATCCTCTGGGCTTGTGTGTGGATGAGACAAGGTCTACCTGGTACGACAGCAACATACTTGGAATGCACCCTTGCCGTGGAGGCAGGGACCCGGCAGCCCTATGTATCCAGCATCAACCTGTATCCAGCATCAACCTGTATCCAGCATCAACCTGTGAAGCTCACTAACTTGGTAGGGGTGAGGTTAGGGATCCTTAGGAGCCCAGGCAGCCACACTTTCCAGGGAGCCCTTTCCCATTTGTGTTGCCAAAGTACCCTCAGTAGGTTGTGGGAATGTTGGCTGTGAAGAGAGTCTGTTGGGGTGAGATCTTGTGTGTGTGCACAGGGTGACAGCTGTGTCCCGTTTCCTGGGAAGCTGTGATGGCAGCAGAGCCTGGGGGAGCCTGAGCGAGTGTGAGAGGGTGGGCCTCTGGAAGAGTAGAGGCTGCGGAGCCAGATGCAGGGCTGTCTGTCACCCAAAAGAAGAGGGACTGAGGACTCACTGAGCGTTTGTGTCATAAACGGTGGCAGCAGGCCCCATAGTGAACATACCATACCTTTTCCGTCCTGAGCGATCCTCGCAGCAGTCCTGGGAGGTAGAACGTCCTTATTCAGCTCGCGGGAGGGACCGCCTTAACTGGAGAGACACAGCAAGGTGCTAAAGGTGCCTTCCATCAGAGGCCGGGTGGGAAGCTCTAAAGAGACTTCTTCTCTCCCCCACTCCCAGGTTGTGTGTGTCCCGCTGTGGATTCTCATGTCTTTTCTGTGCCTGGTGGTCCTCTACTACATCGTGTGGTCCGTCTTGTTCTTGCGCTCTATGGATGTGATTGCCGAGCAGCGCAGGACACACATAACCATGGCCCTGAGCTGGATGACCATCGTCGTGCCCCTTCTTACGTTTGAGGTAAGCGTTCCACGGGAAGCCTCTTCAGCCCCTGAAGCTTGCGCTTCCCCTGACAGGATTCTGCACCCCTGGAAAGGCAGCCTCTGTCCGTCAAGCTCACAGTGAGCCCACTCCAGGAGAGGGGAGAGAACACGGCCATCTCTGGGAGGGAGATTTGGAGAAAGGAAAGCATCCTTCCTTTCTCTTGGGGGCAGTGTGTGGGCCTGGCAGGGAGAAGAGTGCACCGCTTTTAGCCATGGTGCCTCTGTAAGGCTCCAGTTTCCACTTTGGAAAAGCAGAGTTGGATGCCGGATTTATGTATTGGAGTCACATGGAGAATTCTAGAATGGGAGCTGTTGACTCCTTAGAACAAACACTGGGAAGAGTTTGCCATAAAACTGCTGGCATTGCGAACTTTTCAAGTGGAGAGGCTACTGCTGAGCTCTGAAGAGGGACATAAAAGCTCATTTGGAGTTTTCCCCATGGATGGGTGGTTTCCTGCCTTTTCCTGCGGTGCTGATGTTCCCTCTTCTGGGAGCCCATGCGGGGGTGGGGTGGTGGGGAGGAGCTGCCTAATGAGGTCTGGCTTCCGCCTCTATCCATTTTCGATGTTGGCATCAACAGGGACTATGTCTCTTTAGATTCTGCTGGTTCACAAACTGGATGGCCACAACGCCTTCTCCTGCATCCCGATTTTTGTCCCCCTTTGGCTCTCGTTGATCACGCTGATGGCAACCACATTTGGACAGAAGGGAGGAAACCACTGTATGTACTCAGCATTTGAGAAGTCCTTGGTGTGTGTGTGGGGTGGGACCATGGGGTGGGGGATGGATAGAAGTCTAGGAAGGGATGGGTCTCCGAGGGCCCCAATTTAGAAGCTTGTGTGGGAAAGCGAGGGCTGAGGAAATTCTGGGACCCTCTAAGGGAAGGGCATGCCATAACTCCGGTGTTCCACTGGCCTGCACCGGGACTTTTCTCGCAGCGCACGCTGCCATTTGAGGTAGAACCAGACAAGGCAGGCAACCTCTCAGAGATCCCGTTCCCTCCTCTGCAAAATGAGGATCAAGATAGATTTTTCCCAGGCCTGTGAGGGATTGATGGAAAATCCACATCTCCCACCCAAACCCTGGGATTCATCCTAGGTCCCTGTTGGCCCCTCTGCCTCCCCCATATCCTTGCTGCCATCACCTGAGCCTTGCCTGTCTTGCCTTGCTAGCACTCTATTCCCCTCCATCTGCTTGCTGAGGCAGACACTGCCAAAATGATCTCTGCAGAGGGTGCCTTCCTGGCGAGGCTGTGAGCTCCATGGCATGGAAGCCCAGAGCACTGCCCTTCGGAAAGCCAGTGGGTTTGGGGGCCGGGCCTCACTGCAGCCCAGCAGCCCAGGCTACGCTTGCTGTTTGTGCCTCTGCCCCGCCGGGAGCAGGGAGGGCCTGCACCGAGCTGACACTCCAGTAGCACTGGGACTGGGAAAGTGGCTTTAAGGTGGCTCCATGAGTTCAGGCCCCCTCCTGGCCAGGACCCATGCATGACTACTGCCCTCGCAGATTCTAGAGGGTGATGGAAATCGTGTTTTTGGGTGGCACCGTCATCCACGAGCTTATCCTGGCTGGAGAAGATTAGCGGAAGACACCATAGTCTACGCACCACAGATATTTTGAGACTCCCTGGAGCAGTAGTTCTCAAACTTGGGCACCCAGCAGAATCCCAAAAGGGCCAGAAAAAGGGGACCGCTGGAGTCCACCCTAGCCCGACTCAGTTTCT